ATATATATATATATATATATATATATATATATATATATATATATATATATATATATATCATATAAGTTTATAGCACTAGATATTCATTGCGTTATTTATATAAAAATACTTACAATATGTTGTTAATATTCTTTTATTTTTATATAATCTTTTAACTTCTTATAATGGGTGTGTTCGAAGAGACGCTATTTAACGCTAGGAATGTGCTCTGTCCTTGTTTGTTTCTGAAAGTTGAACAATTTCCCCGAACGCAGCCAATATATAAAGGTGTCAATACATGGGAGCGTTCCAGCGTCGAGCGTTAAAGCGTTAGCCAATCAACGTATCAGGTTCCAGAAATATACTTGTAGTTCTTGCAGAAAGTGGCACGTTGATTGGCTACCGCTTTAACACTCGATGCTCGATGCTCTCATGTAAAGGCACCTACACAACGACGTGTATATTGTCAGCAGCCATATTGGGGACCTTGAGAATGGCGTATGGGGATAACCTTTTCCCCCGGAGCCATTACAGAACAGAACAGAACAGCAGCCATATTGGATTCTAACATTCCTGGGCATTTTTGATTGGCTATTATTTTAGACGACTGCGCATCCACGGGACTGGTACACCTTTATATTTACATGGCTGCGGCAAGAAGCGACGCGATAGCCAGGCTGCGGTAAAAAGCCTCATAGGGAGAGAGTGGCAAACTCTATCACGCGACCCCTCTCTTTTGATTAGTTGCGGGCAGCCCTCTGACACTCTCCCATAGACTAATAGTATGTTCGACTGGCTCTGGGTTAAGCTGGTGGCACATAGAAAAACTTAAGCAGTAAAACGTAAGCAGTAAGCAAATTGACTAATCACAGTCATTGATTCTTCTTACGGTCCAAGAATCAACGACTGTGATTGGTCAATTTGCTTACTGTTACGTCCATTCTGGGTTATTCAGCCTACGTTTATTGGTCGAACAAGTACTTATAAGCTTTATGATTGGCTAGTAAAGACTTATGACGTCATTAATCGCTCTCGGAGCGATTAACTCAGGACCGCTATTCCATTACCCATGTATCGACAGTTGTCGATTCGATAGGTGTCGTTGCGCAGTTTTTCCACGATATAAAAAAACTGCGCAACGATACCTACTGATCCGACAACTATTGGAACCACGGTAACGGAGCAGCCCAGAGCCAGACAAACACGCTATTGGCTTGGTTTACATCGTGCACTTGATACGCATACTAAATAATAACTTTCTATTAGATAATCTTAATATCGAATGCATATCAACAGCGACGCATTCTATCAGTACAATATGTTTTGTTGATGAGTATTATACCAACTAAATATACCGTTATTTATATATATATATATATATATATATATATATATATATATATATATATAAATCGACCCCCAGATTGTTTAATGCCCCAAGCATATAAATGAATTGGACAAACTCATAATTGATCTACAGAAATTGCATTTTCTCACGCAAGACGACTTATTCACCGCTGCCTTTAAGAGCAAAACCGACATCTTCAAAAGGATCTCGCTGTTCCTGAAACTCACGAAGCAATCTCTTTAAACACTATACCAGCCTAATGGATCTTGCACACAGGACGCGGTAATGTTTGCCGCGCGGCGGAAGTTCGCGCAACAGCCAATTAATATGCTGCTTTCCATAATAACCTTCTAGCTCTTACGGAAAAACAACATATTGATTAGCTGTCGCGCGAACTTCCGCCGCGCGGCAAGCATTACCGGGTCCTGTGTGCAGGAGCCAATAACTCATCTGGGGGTCGATTGTGTATCTCGAAACGGAGTGAAAATTACAAAAGTGAACAAATTCACTAGGCATTGACCAATGAAGTTACAAACATTCTAGTAAATTTGCTCACTTTTATCATTTTCACTCTGTTTTGAGATACACAATCGACCCCCTGGAAGCTGGGGAACTAGATACTTTCCGTTAATCAGCTACCAACATAACACTAGTCTCTTCCATCGATAAGCAAGAACACATATATTACACCGATGCGGAAAATGGTGTTTAGGAACTAACCCGCAAGGGCTCCGGGAACCAGTACTGAAAGAGAGAGAGAGGTATCGCCCATCTCTAGTGCACTACTTTTAATATGAATTGTATCATATTCTCCCCAATCTTGACTATACTAGGACTGAACTAGACAAGGATAAGAGAGGAAACAAAGAATCTCTATCTCATCCCGCACGTCTCAAAAGGCAGCGTGTGTTGCAGGGAGTATATATTTCAGTGACTTCATCCTCCTTTGACACCAGCGCCCCCCTTCGAGACGGGAAACGCAACTCTAAATTCCCGAAGGCTATTCGAGTTTGTCGGCCTTGGATTAGTTATAAGGCGTCCGCCGGCCAGGCAGGAGGTGTCTTCCATCGCACGTGTGCGCGACGCGTCGCGTCACGCGATTCGCGATCTCCCGTGTGTGTGCAATCCGCACATACAGAGACAGTAATCTTGCTTCTCCCTCGCTCGATCCTTCCTCAGCCTCTGCAAGTCTCTATTCTCGCCCGCCTGAAGGTGTGGCGTGTGTGATACGGTATCTCTGGAGCAGCGTTGCCGCGTCTCCTCCTTCTCCCTTTCCTTTCCTCTTCTCTTTTCGTCGCGCGGTGAATGACGGCGAACGGGCGAGAGCGAGCGAGCGAGAAGGAGCGACAGCCGGAGTGCGCTGGGTTTAGAGGGTGAGAGGGAGGGAAAGAGAGCGAACGCGGCCGATCGTTTCGCAGTGCGGCTGGCGGGAGGGAGGGAAGGGCGCCTCCCGTCCGCGCGTGGGTGTGCGTGCCCGTGGGATGGATACGCTGCCGCCGTAGCCGACTGACAGCGCGGTAGGACGTCAGGCATACACACAACCTGTGCAACGGGCACGGTGGTGCGTCGTCTGGCTCGGTGGTGTTCCCTTCGCTTTCGCGCGAGTGAGTGCGACGAGTGCAAGCGTGCGTTCGACGGAGAGAAGCGCGTGACGCGCGTTACAGGAGACAAATGACAGCGAGCAGGAGGTGAGGATCGATGTGACCGTGCCTGCTCGCCTGCCTGCCTCTGCCTGTGCCCGCTTGCCATGGCTGAGGAAGAGCTGCTGGTCACCCTGAACCGCGGCGACACCGGCGGCGGCGCCGGGTTCGGCTTCTCGCTGCTCGGCAGCAACGCGGCCGGCGGCCTGCGCGGCCACCACGTCATCTATGACATCGTCGAGAACTCGCCGGCGGCCCGGAGCGGCAAGGTGAGAGAGAACGAGCCGTGGCCGCGTTGGAAGAACGCGAAGAGAGCGATGGCGTGGGAAATTGACCCTCATGGGCGATTTTCGCGTGCACGCTGTGCGAGAAATTGATTCTTACGCTCGAAAGGGATGTGAGAATCAATTTTTTATGCCGCGAGGCATGCGAGGAATTGATCCTCACGGACGAAGGAAGAGCGTCAATCGCGTTGGGTCAATTTTCCTGTGGATTGTTGCTTCGTACCGGTTTGTGTTTTCTGCATCTTTTCGTGATTCTCGATTTCTTTCTCTGTCCCCTCTTCTCTCTCTCTTTCTCTCTCTCTTTCACGCTCGCTTGCTAGCTATATGTATCTTCTTCATTTAAAGTGCAGAAGATGCAACACGGTACAGCTAAAAGGGTACAGTAATGCTTTTTCGAGCTATATTGTTTGAATATTTTTTAATTTGTCCTGCGGTCTTTCTTTATCTTCAAATTTTGAGAAATACGACTGGAAAACAGATTTTTTGCAATTAGTAATATTTGGAATAAAATTGCACGTAGAATGAATAATTATCGATGGAAATAGACATATACTCACGCGCGTTGCATGAATCATAGTTCATCGTGTACGATTAGTGTTCCATACGTAACGCAATGCGTCTCTACAACACGATCAAACGTTATCGACTCGTTTATTTCTCTTTTCCTTTCGTTATGCCGTTTTCATGCATATACGTCGCTCTCTTACATTGTATACGCGCCGTATCATGCAAGTTTTATCCGGATATATCGGCTTTCACGGCCTATCCTCGATTATTTCTTTTTTCTATGCATCTTCAGGATGCAACGAGTATTGATTACGGCAGTCTTTCGAGCGATTTGTGCACTTGTAAGTAGTTAGAGGAAGAGGAGGAAAGAAGAGTGCACTTCGCGAAAATGACGATGCTTTTTTCGAAGCTCTCTTCAGAAGGCATCCCCGATGTGGTACGCGCATGGGAATCGATTAGCCCTTAAACATCAGTCTTAACACTCGCAAAGCTCGTGGTATCGCGAGAACAATGAACGCGACACAGTTCAATACGCGAGGAAATCTCGGAGTTTCCACAAGGAGTGAACGAAACTTTAGTTTGCTCCTAATTTTGTAAAATTGACAATCGATTTTGCATAGGTCCGTGTACAATACACTTCAATCAAGTCTTAATGTTCAGCAGACGAAGTCATCCATCTTTGTAATCACTTGCATCGTGTCTGGATATGTGTATCTATATTATAACTGTTGATTATATTTAGTGCTTCGACATATCGTGTGTCATATCGTATCACATTACACCGTATCATATCTGTACACGATGGAAACAATTAAAGAGGCCAGCTAGTTTTGATAAGTGTTAAGCCCGACAGAGACGCAAAGCCTGGTAAACGCCAAGACTTCATGTTGAAACTTGGCACGTCGCACATCGTTCGCATAATTCGCGCACGGAATTCCGGCGTGACGTTCATTGAAGAATTAACCACAAAAGTGTGCCGCTCATGCGAAAGAATGTAGCCGGTGCACTCTCGCTTTTACGTCGCTCATCTCGTTGTCGCGCTCATCGTCGTTATTTTTTCTTGCCTTCCAGTTTCCTTTCGAAACTAAATTTAGCCGGACGATTCGTGCACATCGTGCACACCGCATTGACCAGCCTCCGCCGCTAAACCCCGTCCGTATGTGACAGAAAATCGTTTATCTGCTCGATATCAGTCTCGATCTCGGCGAAGGAAAAGAATGCTCCTTTCCCGAGCTCTGAAGACACCAGGAAGAATTCTAAAAGCGCTATCTTATCTCGGCCGAGCGCTCGATGTATTTTGTAAGGCCGTTTACACGCGTTTACGTCGTTATTTTAAACAATATCGCACAACGGTCGAATAACTTCGTGCGGCCTTGCGTTTCTCGGTCAGCTGGTCCCTCAACAACGACAACTGAGTCTGACGATCGTTGCTCGTCCCGAGGAAGATATTGAGCCTCTTGAGGTCGTTGGGGATCGCTTCGTGGTGAGGCTCGGGGTACGGGCAGGTAGTCCAAACTGGTCCATCGTCCCACAGCAAATCCAGCCCGCCGATTCTGGTCTCGCGACCGCTGAAGCGACCCTTCGAGCAGAATTATAATTGCAACAGAATTATAATACACGTAAATGTGTATAAGCAATTCAGAAAATTGTAAGGAACGAAATTTATGCATTTATCATTTTAATCGCTATACCTCAAAGTCGAGGACGTTCAGCACGTCATCGACCAAGTCAAATTTTAACCGATAATCTTCCTTATCGGTGCCTGTTAAGGCCGGACTGGCGTTGACCTCTAGTAACCAAGGCCGCAGGTCATCACTGAGCAACACATCATAGCCGTAGAGCTCGAAGCAGTTCCGATCTTGCATCATGACCGGCTGCACCGCCAGCAGACTCGCCATTATGACGCCTGCAATTGTGCAATGAATTTGCGCCAGTGAGAGCTTTGATCTTCCCCCGATGTTAATTTTTTCGACACGAGAAAAATTCTGATGTGCACTTTGTGCCGCAGAGAAATACAGATATCACAAATGTATATTTAATTGCTTTAATCTCAATAGTGTATTCTGCAGTATAATATTTTGATAAAATACAGTAAAAATACAATAAAATACAGTTAAATTAATTATTTTTTTTTATATTTAAAGTATTTTTAAACATTGAGGTAAAGAGTTCTAAAGTTCATAATAAATAATTGATGTCAGGGTTGTGTATAAAATGTCGTTGCAACAAATGTCGTATGTATAAAACAAATTCATAATTTTAACTTATGATAATATTCTTTCTCTCTTTCTTTAAATTCTCCCTACGTATAAAATACACATATAATTGTAACATATAATTTTCAAAATACCTGCGATACGTTGCATCAAATTTTCCACCGTTTGCGTCCCGTGATAAGTTATCAGATATTCCTTAAGTTTGTTCAGAGCCCACTTGCAATTCAATTTTGTCTCCTTCTCATCTGCCATTGACGGGGAATCTTGGATATTCTGAACAGCCTTCAGTTGAATCGCTGTATTCGTCAAGTGCACCCTGCTATCCTCGATGTTTTTCAGATCAAATAGTCGGCCACACAGTCGAGCGAAGCCTTCCCTAGCCAACCACACTTTCAGAGGATGAAACGACGTCACCAGTACATAAATACGCAAATCAAATTTTCGTCCTGAAATCAGGGATGGAAAATCAGTCCCGAGAAATGACGATAACGATCTTCACTTACGGGAATAGATAAAAGGAAGTAATCGCAAGCTCGTGATTTGTAATATATTAAATGAAATTTTAGAAAAATATCATGGCGATATATATGACTCATATGTGATATATACGTATATCTAAAACTTGATAATGTTATATAAATTTACAATATTGTTTGTACGATATAATAAATTATATGGTAAAGTATACAAAAAAGCCACTAGATTATATATCATAACCATTGTTTTTTTTTAAATTAGAACTCTAAGATATCCAAAATCGAATTAAGTTACGACTGTACCCGCTACGAGATAAGGATTATCTATGTATCTTTGAACGACGTAAATCTCGGTTGGGCTTCCCTGTTGTTGTGACTTCGATTTCCACTCGATCAAATCCTTCAGTTTTCTGAACAAGAAAATACCCTTACCACGGGACTGCGCTACCGGCTTGACTATCCATGTAGCACCTTGTTGTCTGTGATTAGAGATTACTGTCAATGATGATATTGTCCAACAAACATGAACAAATCAAGTAACATATAAATAAAATATGTTTAACATAAAAATAATTATTTTATACCCAGAAACAACGATAAAATGAAAAACGAATAACACATAAAACAGAAAACAAATAATATGCATATCATACTATAATAATAATTATACTATACTATAATAATAACGTAATATAATATATAATAATCATCTAATTACTCACATACGCACACAACACATTTAATCCATCGTTATTGTTATTTGTATAAATAATATCCAAATATCAACGATATATCAATGATTAATAATTATCAGTTGGTATAAATAATAATTTTACATAACTCATGATGCCGATTGCTCATTGTACCTGTGGTACTCCTCAACGAAGATCCGGTAATCGGCGGGCAGTTCGAAGGTCACGGGCGCGGATTCGCTGCAGATACGGGCCTCGGCGGCCTTGCCGGCCGCGGCGAGGGCCCGGCGGTAACGCTTGAGGTTCCGTCCTAGACGGTGCTTGCACGTGAGCTCATAGTGGTTGCGGAAGTGCGGCACACGTTGGCGCAGCAACAGTCGCCGCTCCTCGAGCGCGCGTCGCGCTTCGGCCGTCTCGCACCACCACAGGTGCCAGCTGCCGTCCACGGGGTCAACTATCTCGAGAGATGAAGGAAGGAGGGAGTGAGAATCACCATGTAGGAGTGTCGGGACGGTCGCAATTAATTTTTAACACTTTGATCAGATTTAATCCGGAGCTCCTTCATTTTTAATTTCATGCGCGTAAAAATAATCAACCGTGAATCGAGTAATTTCAGCAGAGGGAGGGAGGGAGGGCGGACTTATCGAGCGGCGTGGACGGACTCTGTGTGTCCCCTTTAAATGGAATTATATTACCTGCTTCCAACCCCTCGCTAACATCACCTCGCCCTGCGTCGACGAGAGATCGCAGCGGAACTTGACGATGACTTTGTCGTCTGCATCCTTCTGCCGCGTGCCTGAGTCGCGGTATTTCCTTTCCTTGTTGGATAATTCGATCGCCTCGGTCTTCGGAGGAAGAATTTGCGGACCTTCCAACATCCTTTGCGCGTTGTCGACGGATTATCGAGATGGCCGAGAGTGATTCACATTTGTTCGCGTGCGCATATAGCGTGTCTTACTCTTCAAATAAATCAAATCAAATGATTACAAGGTAAAGGAAGACGCTTGAAAGAAATTATAAATCGCTCTTGTTTCTGATCACTGAATAATTAAGTTAAAATATACACATGGAGGTACATATAAATATCAGAACATCATAACAAAAAGGTGATTAAACTGCACTAACTTTTTTATTCGAAACGTACCGTTATACCTCAAAGTCAAGTGTAGCACGCGCAATGCAACTTGTTTTGGAGAACAGCCCGAAACTGCGAGGAAAGTCAATGTCAATAGAGGATCCAAAAATACAATTGGCCGCTGGCCGACTTGTGTGTTTTCCGACTGAGATTCGTCGTCGGGTGGGATGAGAAGAGATCAGTCGTATTCCGTCATTCGCGTCCGCGTATGATCCTCTTTCGTAGAAAGAAACTTCCCATACTCAAAGTTCTCTTTTCCACCGTGAATCCTGTCGTAGTGGTGTGTCTTGAACCGTGGAAATATTATTCCGCCGGTTTTAACACCGAAGATACTCGCGATAACATCATATCTGCACTTAAAATTGGGAAGCGAGAAACGCGAATCATCATACGTTTCTTTTCCTTTCACTCACATGTAACATCCTTGAGAGGCGAAGTTACCGAGAATTGCACAGGTTTCGAATATGTTTGTTCGTTGATATACCGTGGCATTGAAAAATATCCCGCTCTAGGATCTCCCTAGAATCTAAAAAAACAATTTCGTTAGGATGCAAGCCGTTAGACACTGTGGATATTTTGAAGCGCTGTATAGATCAATCATGGTTTCTTTTTAAGGATTTCAAAATGTTTGCGGCGTCTAATTGATCACGTCCTTAGTGTAACTAAATTTTCTGTTATCTGAGAACCAGGTAGAAAAATCGCTTATAGGAACAGAAACATTCTTATAGAAGATTTCTACTCAGCCTAATTGCTCTCAGTTATCTCAACCGAGTTTTAATGCAGCCAAATGTTTTCGGTCGCAACAATAGAGATATTATTTCTCATCAGCGATATTATTTTTCGTTCCCATTCAGACACTTGAATTGAAATTTTTCTCTCGTGTATGAAGAACACGAAAGTTACAATTAATAAAGGATACGCAAATTTGTGATAATTAGCAACGCCATTGAATAGATTTCATATGTTCGACGAGCAGTAGTGTTGCGCGTCGTATCATTGCCGTCATCATTGCACTTCAATCTTACTCCAACGTGTTTCTGGAATTGCGTCATATATTTGTGTATCGCTTAATATATAATCGAGATACCTACGAATATCATCGATACGAGCATCAGGGCTACTTCCGATGCCGAAATTGGCGTCTTGTTTATCGTGCTGCCTGCGACCCCTCGACCTCCTGTTGGGGGAACAGTCCCCTGGGAGCGGCAGATTCGATTACATCGAATACATTCCTCTCCGCCAGGTGAAGACCGCTCCCTTCATGCCATTTCGTCGAAATAATTATGTAACAACGAACGAAAAGTATTCTTGAAAGTGTGTGTGTGCGAGCAAGAGAGAGAAAGAGAGAGAGAGAGAAAGAGATAAAAGCTAGTTTGTAATTAACCATTATTATTGATCCTAGATTGTTGAATCTTCTATTTGTTATTTAATCACGTATAGTCAGTGGCAAAAGGGTTGCGACATCGACGGGTTGTTTAATCTCGGTGCAACTTCAGAGCGCATTCGGTATCCAATAGGAAGAAACTTCTCCTCCGAATATTACTAGAAAACAAATTCTTCTATTGGACAGAGACGCGTTGCGGAACTCATGGAAAAAAAAGTGTTACAGACTTTCTGCCATTGACTGTATCTGACAGTTTATACGGCGGTAAATATGACATTTCTACTTGGGTGATTGTTGGATCTCCGCGCGTGTGTACATTCTCGTTCTAGTTCCACTTTTTTCTACTTCTCCTCTTTTCCTTTCTCTTTTTCTTTAAAAAGTTGACTTACTTTTTCATACAGAATCGTCATATGTTCGGTTGTGTCGTTTGCACAACGGTGGTGGTTGTAACCTAACCTAACCTGTAGGAACGATACGTTCTCCCTCGAATCGAACCAATTTTGCGCTCCGTACGCTGCTTGGAAAACTGCAATCCTTTCGCCGGCGCGCTCGTTGAACTTTTCTCACCTCCAATGACGTGATTTCATAACAGGACTCGCCTCGATTTCGGACTTTCACTATTTCGATCGGACACGCTCTTAAGGACGTTCACATATCGAGCGTAAATATTGCATCATTTTATTGGAACATTTTTTTAATTACGCTTAGCTTTAAATTTACTGCTTTACTGCTTTCATTCTTTTACAAAGATATGTGTAATTATAATTATTTTCAATATTTTGCATCTCACGAGACAACATGTAGACCGGGAACATTCTACATGTACAACCGTATCTCGATGTGTACAGCATTACCTTTTAAATTTTCAGGAAGATGGATAAGATGTAAAATTAGGATTTAGATTCTTAGAATAGACACGGATGGTTAGATTGATTTACGACGCGTTCCAGAATAGATTGTCCTCGAGTATAGGAGAAAGAGTAAGAGAGAGAGAGAGAGAGGGAGGGAGGAAGAGAAGGAAGGAACAAAGCTAAATATATTATATAAGAATAGTTGTAAAACAGCACAGCGTGATTTTCGCTTGGTTTTCTTCAGGTCGAGGCCGGCGACGTTATACTCAGGGTGAACGAAGTCGATGTCAACCGATTTAGTACGAAGGAAGGCAAGTCACGTTCACCTCACGCTTAATTTTAAACTCTTACTTTAATAATTCTACCCTCTTAAGATATTAAGTCCGAATTAATCGGATCTCAATTTCGATTCTCTAGATTTGAAATTCCATTTTAAGTTACTTTCTTTGCAATTTCTTTTTATAATTCATCATTAAATTCCAAATAAATAACCTGAATTTTGAATCATTTTCTTCTTGAGAAGTTCTAGCTATTTTTCGGATACTTGATAGAAACACACTTCAGACGTTCTCTTGGCACTTGTTTTGATAATCGATCTTCTTTCGCTTCATGTTTATATTCCATCATCTAGCAAATCAAGTGTCATGCAGCTTGACTCATTTATACTACAATTATTTATACTGCGCAATAGTTTAATCAAGATTTCTCGAAATTCAACATGGCCATTGAAATCGAACTTGACAATACCTCGGAAAATAGAATTCGTAATATATGTCATTCATGATTTGTAATATATATATGGTTAATTAATAATTTTATTCCAGATTTAGTATTTCGAATTGAAATTATCTGTAATTTCACATTTTTAATACTAAATTTAGAGTTCCACTATATAAATTCCACGATAAAATTAATTTTGTAGTATAATTTTTAAAGCAAGAACTGTTTGTATTTTGAATGTAAAATTAAATTGTTTAATTTATAATTTAGTTACGCGCAAGTACAAATTTTCAGCTAGCATGTTTTTGATGTAATATTATTATTACTATTTTATTCTGTACGTGCGTTAATTTAAAACTGATTCGTTTCATTGGCGTATTTCAGTGCTAAAATGCCTGCGGCTCTCCTCAGACCCTGTCACCCTGAAGTTGCGGAGAGGTGAGTATTATTCAGCATGAAATAATTAATCATCGCTGATTGATTAATTTTGCACATAGACACACACATCGTCAGAATGGCTGCATCAATCCTAAATTTAGAATAGTACTATTGTATTTTAATTAACAGGGTATATTGTTAATTAAAATGCGTCGTCTCTCGAGGCCACGTGGTGACTGAACTCTCGCGATCAAGAGCGCGAGGTCCAATGATAGATCGCCGGGCGTCGAGAGACGGCGCGCCGTACTTGAACCTGGAATCGGCGCGGTAATAATAGAATTAACACTATAATAACACCGGCGAGGCTAATGCGCGAGAAACAAAGAGAGCTCTCCGGTGGTTACACAGCAGGAAGAGGGTGACCGGTGACCAAGGACATGCGATTATTCGCATGGGCGCACTCTCAGACGACGCGAGTGGTTTTCCGTCCGCCAGACGACCCCTCGGTCGATCAATCAAAGAACTTTCAGCTTTTACGCGCTCATCTCGTGGTTTTTGCATTGTTGCTAACAGAATGTTCTTATTATTACAATGAAATTCCATTATTAAGTTAATTGCTATTATGTAAGAGCGTTGTGTTATGTTTATTCTATAATAAATAAAATATATAAGATATTGTTATATATATATATATATATATATATATATATATATATATATATATATATATTATTGCATTATTATTATCGTTATATTACACTTTGCTATATGTTTTTATGAATTTCTTATCTAGCTAGAGAAAAGGATGAAAAGATAAAACGCGATTGAATCTTTTCAGATCCTGCAGTAAAGGCACACGTTCGTCGCCTTTTGTCGCCTGGACAACCCACCAACGAAGAGGAGTCCACTACGGAATCTTGCAAAGAAAATCCTCCTGCGGCGAGCAAGGATGATAAGGAACTAGCGGATGTATCCTCCACAGACTCGCCGACGCCGGTGACGATGACGACTGCGACGAGGAGCAACGGTTCATGTAGTGATGCGTCCGTCTCGTCGGAATTAGAGGCGCTTCTGCCGGCTGTGGATCACTTCAAAGAGGAGGAGAGATCTCAATGGGAGCCTCTCGGCACGAGTGGCGAGAAATTCGCCCGGCAGAAGAACACACCTAGGTATAAGTCGTATAGAATTGAAGCGAGATCTTAAAGAAAACGAGAGTAAAATGAAAGTCAAAGCGTAAAATATTAAGAAAATTAATAAATATAACAAGAAGTAATAGAGTTCTCTAAAAGAGTAACAATATGAATAAGTAACATAATACTATACTCTAAAAGAATATTTACGATACTTATTTCAGAAAAAAAATTTTTGATTGTATACTAATAATATTACATATCTATGGTTAAATTAACTTTTCTTTTATGATTTCCGATAGTCGAGCTCTTTGTAGCCTTTTGAACAATTGTCTTTCGTATCGTTCTCAGGTTCGAAGCGTATATGATGACCGGCGACCTGATGCTCAATCTCTCTCGTACTCAACAGAGCAGCAATCTGTTACCGAAGCAGCAGCAGCAACAGCATCAGAAGAAAATCGACTCCCTTAGGTACAATCCCAACCACCACTCTTATACCGTCACCACCACTACCACCCACCACAACCACCACCACCATCATCATCACCATCAGCACCACAACTCGGTGCCTAGCAGCCCCAACGACAATACGTTGGCGCACCATCATCATCATCATCACCACTATCACCAACGCGCTACTTACAAGTCCTCTAGCTCGGCTAGCACGTCGCCTGTGGGCACTGGTAGACGCGACGGGGTGCAGGGTGCCCCAGGCTCGCACCAGATTGACTCCAGCAACAAGAATACCCCTTCGAGCTTCGGCTTCGTTCGAACTTCACGGTCGGAGGACCACTTGCAGTTCCAAAAAGACCCCTCTATGAGCGCCGTGGATATCGACATCGACGACGACGTCACTAGCAGCCTAAATACTTTGCTGGACCCGCGGCCGGAGATCGGTCTTATGCCTAACGAAAGGATCGTCTGGACGTATAACGCGCCTGTCAGCTCGCCTGCCACCTCCTGCTGCCAAAATGGCGGCTCTTCCTCCTCTTCTTCTTCTTCCTCTTCATCCTCTTCATCAACCAGTCCGCAGCGTTCGCTGTCCCCTGCTTCCCCCACCTCCGTCTCGTCCTCCGTCATGTCCTCGAACTCTGGCTCGCGCAGGTTCCCACCGGCACAGACGATTCCTGGAGTCTCCGGGGTTTCTGGTACCCCGGGTGGGCTTCTCCCGGCGAACGGTGACCTCAGCCAGTCGGAGGCTATCAGCAACATGTCAAGTCCGGACTATAACGATGAAGAGACCATGGATATCCTCAGCGCAAGGGATATCATGATGGTGAGCGACCCTAGTGACAGCGACTCCACCATTTTGGCGAGCGAACCACCCCAAAGGAGGCTGAAGACCAACAACCCCCAGGATAGTAGCGGTGACCACAGAATCGTGATACAAGTGAAGGGTCCTGACAAGGAAACCGCCGCCGCGCCAAGAAACACAAGTCCCAGACAGGCGAGAAGACGCGGCAATCCTGGAAATGCAGAATTCACGCCTCCTGCTGCGGCGCAGAATTTGCAAAGAACGCAAACTGGGACAGTGCCGGGGGTCGCGACGGGGTCGATGGTACCAGAACATGTGGGCTATCAGGTAATGTAAAGTCTATATTAAACGTTAATCGAATTTATCATCGCTATTATTACAGTTTTATCGAGCTTTAATTAAATTGAATGTGATATTGTTAAAATATTTTATTAAGCAGATTAATTATATAGATTATGAAAATGTTATCGAGATTTTATTGAAAATTACATAGAACTGATCTCTCTTTTTTATTATATACTCTAAATAAGTGAAATGTATTAATCTTCTTTGAGCAACGTTGGCAATTTGTTAAATCGAGTTATAATCGATAATCGATCGTCTTATCGATAATAATTATTGACAATTCACTCTTCGTTTATTAATTTGTTCATATTTACTAATTTATTTATCTCTGATAACGTTCCGTTGAATTTGAAGGAATTGAAAGAGTGTGAAGACGATAAAGAAGCCTTGATGGGAATCTGCGATGAACAAAAAGGAGGACACGGAGGTGGCGGGGGCGGAGTATCACCGCCGCAATCGGCTGACGAAGAAAGCGACATCGAGAGTCTGCACAGCTTCCACTACAGTCCGAAGGCGGTGGATTTGCCATCGGCCGTACGGCTGGCCAAACGTCTTTACTCCTTGGACGGTTTTAAGAAATCCGACGTCTCCAGACATCTTAGTAAAAAGTAAGTTTTCTTCTTTTAACTTGTTATTGGAATCAATGAATCAATGATATTGGATTTGTAGCAACGACTTCAGCAGAGCCGTGGCCGAAGAATATTTACGTTACTTCAATTTCGAGTGCGACACGCTAGATGTTGCTCTCAGAAAGTTTCTTGCCCAATTTTCACTCACGGGAGAGACCCAGGAGAGGGAACGAGTCTTGGTACATTTCTCCAAGAGGTTTTTAGACTGTAATCCCGGCACCTTCAATTCTCAGGGTGAGTTATTACAATTGCTATTGATCTACTATTATATTTAATTAACTCAGTGATTATATTAAAAGTGAAAACTTGTACAACTTGTAGGTTTTAAAATTATCACATTATTACTGTAAGATTAATCAATCCAATAATAAGAGAACTATTTATTCGCTGAAAATTCACTGAATCGAGTTAAATTTTCTTATAAGTCAAAATATATGATATGAATGATATGAAGAGTATAATCGATTGATCGATATTGATATATTTTTCAGATGCCGTTCACACTTTAACGTGTGCGATAATGTTGCTCAACACGGATCTGCATGGCCAGAACATCGGCAGGAAAATGTCATGCTCGGAGTTCATTGAGAACCTGTCGGAGCTTAACGACGGCGACAATTTCCCACGGGAGGTGCTCAAACAGCTTTATAACGCCATCAAGTCCTTTCCTCTTGAATGGGCTCTGTAAGTGACTCTCGTATATTTCAACAAGCGTCTCTGAACAAATTTCTGAAACACCTCCAAAGTGTGGTAAAGGCTTTGGATTCTTAATGTGAATATTTTTCAAAATTTGTTTTATGTTAATTTAGGGATGAAGAGGGGGATGAAACGACGGCTCAGGTGATTCAGCAGGGTGACGGACCAGCAATCGCTGGCACCGGAAATCCATTTCTCGACGTGCCAAATGTCACGGGCGCTACGGAGTTTAAGAAAGGTTACGTTATGCGAAAATGCTGTTATGATTCCAACGGCAAAAAGAGTACGCACAATATTATACAGTTTATAATCAATATTATCATCGATATATCTAATTCTTATCGGTATATCTAGTTCCTAAATAACTTTTTTATTTATCAACAATGTATCCGATTAACTAAGAATATATAAAGTTTTGAATATTAAAGTGAAAAATACTTTGCAGCTCCGTTTGGCAAGCGCGGGTGGAAGATGTATTACTGCACGCTAAGGGAACTGGTGTTGTATTTGCACAAGGATGAGCACGGTTTCCGTAACGATAGCTTGCACAATGCGATACGCATCCATCACGCGCTCGCCACCAAGGCGTCTGACTATACAAAGAAGCAGCATGTCTTCCGCTTGCAAACCGCCGATCAGGCAGAGTACCTCTTCCAGACTAGGTCTGTGTAACCCGTTATCATTATTTTGAATTGCTTTATTTGCGGTAGAATTCGGTTAAATTAATTCCATTTCATTACTGTTTGTCCATATATGAGATATCTCGTCGTATTTGTATCCTATCTATACGATTTATGCAGTGACTCGAAGGAGTTACAATCGTGGATCGACACTATCAACTTCGTATGCGCGAGTTTTTCATGCCAGCCTCTAGCCGGTGCTGTGGGCTCGCAACGCAAGTTCCAACGTCCGTTGCTGCCTTGTAGCCACACTAAACTGGATTCCGTGAGTGTGTGCCATCCAGACATATTCAAAGATACTACAAGCTTAAATGGAATTTTAAGATAGACAATGTAGAACTATTAGAATCCAAGTAGTTAGATTTAGAATTTTAACGTAGTCTACTTAACGTAAACTTGTTGTTTCTTTTTTAATTTTTTCCCAAATATAAATTTTTCTTGACAGTGATTTTTTCTTTAATGAATATTAATATGTCTCCATTATCTTAACTTGTATGATGTAAAATTTTTCTTGATATTTTATGTGACTTGCTTTTTACGAATGCGTGCGGTAGAGAGAGATAGTTCAATTAATTTGTCGTTAGAGAGAGCAGTTGCGGGACCACGAGGACAGAGTCAACAGGTTGGAAGCGGAATTGGACGAGCACAGGAGGCATCCACCGGAGAGGAGTGCCAAAGCTCTCACTGTACAGAATTATAAGGAAAAGGACGCGTATCTTCATTACGAGGTGATTTTTAAGTTCTTTTCTTTCTTTAACAATTTCAGAAAAACTAAAATACCCACTATGTCAACAAAACTCCACTGTGGTGCTTAAGGCTCGAAGCAAAAGGAAGAATCTCCATCTTATTCTTTTAAAAAAGAAATTTAAGAATTTCAGAACTTTCTTCAAAAAATAGTACTATTGATATCAAAAATCATATTTTTTTAAACCAGAGAAGTTGTGTCTCCTTCATTTTATTCTAAACTAATATATTTTTTCCATGTAAGTTCTTGATTCAATAGCAGTTTATATATACGGGTTTTCCAGTTGAAACGATACAAGACGTATGCTTACCTTCTGCGTTCTCGACTGGCGTTCAGCGAGGTGGAACCTTCCTCGCTGGCGGAGAGCAGCATTGGCGAAGTAGATGAGACTGGTGGCTTAGGTGGGCCTCTAGCAAACATCACGGCAACAGAAATGGGAGGCGGCGGCGGCATTGGTGGCGTCGGCGGTATTAGTGGCAGCCTCGTGCCACCGCCGGTCCCTGAACGACTCAACGCCAATAGGTACAGTTACCGGGCTGCCATTTACAGTCGTAATCTGCTCAACGGCCAGCAACAGCAGCAGCAGGAGCAGCATGCCTCATCCGACATTGGTTGACGCGTTATGGGTGTGCTTTCAGCGTGTGTGGTCTAGTCTGACCCCGGTAGTGCTGGTGGTGTGGTGCTCTGGTGGTGGTGCTGATGGTGGTGCTGGTGGTGGTGCTGTTATCAGTTTGACGGTTGACGATTGACGCAAACTAACGATATACACGGGTGGCGTATTGCACTTGGAAACTGTAATCCGTAGTTTTCTGTGTATGTTCATTTATACAGTGGCGTAACTACCAATATAGAACGTAGAAGCTGGTTCTAGAGACCGTCTCCTTCTAGATATTCATAATACCTTCGAGCCAATTTTTCTTTTTGTTAGGAATTCTTTCGCTTCTTCTGAGTTTCTCTTGATTGATTTTTTTTCTGTTCTCTCTTTTATTTCTTTTTTTTATGGAACTTCAAACTTCCATTTTTGCGCGTCTTGCATTCAAATTCTATTACATTTTCAATTTAAATTAAATTATAATAACTGTTTTATTTAATTTATGTTTACATATTACATAAGTTTACTTTATTAATAGTAACTACGCCACTGACCACCACTTTGACCTTATTGTATCATCTGTTTGATAATCGCGATAGCTATTATGCCATTTTACATACTCTAATGTGCACTGCAATCCATCTCATTAATTCATTAAATGATCAAGATCAATGTCTTTATTTATTCGCGTGGTATCTTTTTTTATTTAACTTATTAATGGCATAGTATAGATATATAGGATACTTCTAAATTTCTTTGACAAATATCTGGAGTGAATTCTTTACGTCATAATAAATGAAAAATGTTGAAATTTATTTATCATAATGTGAAAAGTTCACTTTAGAAGTTTGTCAAAGGGATTTAGAAGCATCCTGTATTTATTTAAATCATTAACGACTTCATTACATACGGCCAATGAAGAACAATGGAATTTCCGAATACATGTATTTTCTATAGATATGTCGATTAGAGTTTTGAAAATTCAGGTAAGTCCATTGTAAGCATTTTGTCAAATGAAGAGAGAAAAGCCTGAATACTTTACTAAATCTTGTGCACACTAAAAAAATTTTTTAAGTTCTTTTTTCAATATTCTTGATTTTTTGTTTATAATTTTATTTTGGGAAACAGAAGCTATTTTATTTTGTAAAGTATCATATCTCATTACTGAAGATACTATATAGAAAGATATTTAAATTACTTTGTTTTGCTATATTGTTAGTTTGCGCCCAAATTTTAGTGACATTATACAAATTGAAATATCAGATATATACTGAATGAAAGATATGAGGGAGGTGTTGTTAAGACTGAATAGAGAAAAGCATGTGAGCTGTTTTGCGACTGCAAAAAAAAACGACGACCTACGATCTTTTAATTTTGACGCACTTATTGATTAGTAAACTTGTGATAACATGATTTTATATTACACTCGAGTAATGATTCGTCTTTTGTTTAACGATATTTTATTAGATTTTGTAAACTCGATAATACTCAAAAATAGTTATTCCTTTTTGCGACAAAGAATGTTAATTAAAAAATAGATAAGTCTAAAATAGGTCTAATTAAGTACATCTCACCATATTTTTATTTAAATAAAATTTTTGTCTTCCTAATTTTTACATAATAGTAAAGTTTATTTTTTTTTATTCGCATCGACTGAATTTATGTATGTATATACATTTGTTATATTCCATTTTGTATTCATACTAGATATTTATTTTTGTATGTGAACACTGATTATTTAATTAATTAAGTAAGTGTTAAATGGACAATTAACATTCCTCGAATGTTAGAAAATTAATATCGAAAAAACAGAATTTTGTTGTAAACCGAGTGATTTTGTTAATAACGATTAGGACAAGATTAATAAAAAGTTGTCGAGGTCATAGTGATCTTTTGAATTTATAGAAATTCTAGTGATTTTGAACACAGTTTATATAGTATATCATATATAAATAAAGAGCATATAAATAATAGAAATAATAATAAACGAAATTATCATGTAAGAGATACGAATGTTTCACGAGATATATTAATATATGCAAATATGCAAGGTTACCTGGAAAATATCAACTTAATTTCTTTAACTAATTCAGAGATTTCTGTTTTTAAAAATTATAATTATTTTTTAAAGAAAAACTTATATATATAATTCTCATAAAAAGCCATCTTTCATACATATGTAGATATCTTGTAAATTAAAATTTTAAGGTGGATTTAGGAGAGTAAAACTATGAAAAATTTAATTTTTTGCTGTAATTAAAAAATTAAGAATGTTATACAATTTGTTATATAAATTGTCTTACTAAAGCTAAATTGGTTTCTATAGATTTTTAATAAAATTGGTTTAATTAGGAAAAATTAGGGAAATTATAACAGAATGCATATTTTTATTATAAACTTCCGTATTTTCGTATGTTAGATTTAACAAATTTTTCCAGGTCATCTTGTACACACACACA